CACGGAAGCTGGTTCCGACCTCCACAGCTTCCGTCAGCCCTTCCTCCATCTTCTCCACCGGACGCGGATCGACATCCTTCTCGGGCAAGTCAGCACGCATCGGGCACCCGGCAGGTCCCAACACCTCAGGCATCCGCTCACACCCCCGTAGGCTTATCGGATGTTAATTGTCAGAATGCTCATTCGGTACCACACACTATTACTCAGTGGAAGAAATTGGCTCGGAGGGTGGTTGCAGCCGCGTCGGGGTCTTCTACGGTGCCGGGCACTATTCAAGGGGTAGACATGCGTGTTTTCGTAGACACCGGTGCGTCGGCAACCATAATTTCGGATGTAATTTTTCACCTGTTATCCATCCCTGCGTCGCGGGTCCAGCCGGCTATCGACGTATGCATTGCCGCTAATAGGGGTGGCATGGGTATCATAGGACAGGTAGATGTCCACATTGCCATAGGGAATGTTGCCGCGTAGGGATCGGTTCTTATCTCTCGATCGTTGGCAGTTCCATGTCTGTTGGGCACCGATTTTCTTCGTCAGCTGCCTGTTAAAATCCTTGTGGATCAGGGCTGTTTAGAAATGGTAGGGGGCTGTAGGATGTCTTTCCTGCCGTCCTTGTGGGGCCGCCCACCTACGGGAAACGCCATTCACGCACTTGCCGATGTCACTGTGGAGATAGTTCCCAGTCCACAGATGCTCATCCCATTGCATTATCGAAAGCAGTTGGAGGTCGCGGATAGGGTGGTGGGTGTTGCTGTCCCCGTCAAACTCCTTAGCTAAGGCTTTCTCTCTTGTCGTGGCTCAAACTATCGTTCGGGCTGGACAAGCCCCGTTCTTACAAGTGTTGAATGGGGGCCCGGAACGAGTAGTCGTTCCGTCGGGTGCGGTATTGGCCCATGCCGGGGGCTAATTTTTTCTCTACCCTCGACCTCACATCGGGTTTTTGGCAAACTTTTTTCGGAACTCAGATTGGTTTCGATGTAAGAGATTGTTGTCGGACAGGAAACTGCTAATTTGGTAGTTCAATCATTTTTCAAAACATTTCATCAACGGGGACAAAATTTAGATAGGTCGGTAGTTATTTGGATCATCTTTAGGGCCCCCTTTGTGAAGTGGACGAACATAGGAATGTTTCCATTCTAGAGGTGCTGATGCTTCTTTGACTGACAGGTTGAAAATATGGGCTATAGGTTTGTAAATTAGGTGACCAACAGTTAGCAAAGCAAAAACAGGAATGCTATCCGCTCCGGTAGAAGAGGACCCTTTGAGGTAGGAAAGTTGTTTCAGAACATTACTTTCGTGGATAGGCTGGAAACTAAATTCGTTGCATGTTTGGACAGGCGTGTAGGAAATTGCATGAGCAGGGGTTAATCCCAATACATTATTAAAAATGTCACCAGCTTCAGAAAAATGAAGGTTAAAATTGTCGACTAGTTTTTGGGGCTCTGAAAAATAGTCTCCTTTTCGGTTAAGCGCAAGGGGAAGATTATCTGTGTTAGATGCCCTTTTGATACATTTTACTGTTTTCCAGAAGATTCTTGCGTTGCCATGCGATTCCAGGAGAGTGGAGGAAAAGTATGAATTTTTTGCATGCCGTATTTTGTTGACACATCTATTCCTTAAAATCCTGTTTCTAGCCAGTCTTTGACCAAATTACTTTTCTGAGCACATGCCCAAGCCTTGTCCCTAGTTTTCATGAGCTTTGTAATCAAAGGATCAAACCATGGTGGGCGGTTGCCTTAAATTTTCAATCTCACAAACGGATCATGTTTGCTAAGAATTTGGAGAAATGTATACCTGAAGGTTTCCCAAGCCATAGTCAGGTTGGGGATATCACAGACCTTATCAATATCCGAGTGAAGCACATCATTAGTAAATGCCTGTATGCTGAAGTGTCTCATGGAGTGCTTATCAACCAATTTTGGGGATGCTTTGGGTTTGGCTGACGATCCCACCCCAAATATGAAGGAGTGATCACAAAGGTTATTACCCAGAACACCAGTAAGTGGGATATTGTGAGGGGCATTAGTCAATAGGACGTCAAGCAGAGATGACTGTCCCGGATTTTTTAGGTTGGGTCTTGTGGGGATATTTATTAATCGAAATAGCGCTGACACTCTTTCTCTTGGCTGCGCTAGTCAGGCTCTCTCCACAGCTCCGTGCTTTCTCCCTTGGCTGCACCTGCCAGCTTCACGCGGGCACCCTGGGGTGCCTCTCCCGCCCTTCCTCCAGGAGGGCTCAATGTAGAATAAAACTTTCAGCGATACTCTGTCGGTCAGTGCGAAACTCAGCACTTAACAATATATCGCCCCTCTCCTCTGCGAGACAAGACACCCATGGTTGATTCCGAGGTCATACCCTGGAGTCTGCCACTCGCAGCATTTATTTGCGTGTTATGTGTTCTTGCTTATATCTGAAATTCTCCCACCTCTGCGCGACTTCTCACAAAGGACCGGAATTCTTTAAGATGTCGCTCTCAGCCAGTGGGAACAGCTGCTTAGTTACCCCTCAAAGTGTTTGACTAGTTTTACAACTTTCCGGGGGGGGGGAGCGGGGGGGGGGGGGGTTCCTTGTACCTTTTTGTCCGGCTGTCTTTATTAACGCCATGTTTACATTCCCGTCCTGGGCTGCGATTTTCCCCCTTTTCCCTCACGGTTAGAGGTGTGACATATTTTTTTTCGCCTCAGACTTGCAGTCTCTCACAAAGAGGGGCGCTGTGGCCTTTGAAGTCTGACCTCTTGTGCACGGGTTAGAAGTTAAAAAATAAATAATTTTACACCTCTTATAGCTTGGTACCGTACCACTTTCCACAGTTTTGACTCTGCAAGCGACTCAAAGTACGTTTTGAGCAGTGTTTACCGCCCTCACGTCGCGGTGTGGAATCCTTGCGTGATATTTGATATATTAAGGGGAAGCACCCCCCTTCATACATACTTTACTGCTACCATGTGCTGTGTTAGCTGCTGGAAAATAAAGGCGGTTGGTGAGGCTCTTAGCCTATGGAATACATATTATCTAAGTCGTGTGTGATTGACCTATTTCGCATTGTATCTCTTCTTAATGACCCTAGGTCTAATACTTACACAATTATTATTTGGTTTATGCTTAACCAAGATTTGTGGCATACCATAGTTGTTACCAAAGGTAGTCTGAGGGTTTTATTAACCTCCGTTCCCCTTCTGTATCGCCAGGGATCCGTGCTTCTTATTCTCGAGTTATATTTTTATATCCTGAGGTTGAAGATACAGCTAAGCTTCGAACTTTTACTGTTGTATTTTTAAAACCACGGCCAGTTCGCAATGCCCAACCGCCACTGGCTGGCTCTTGCTGTCTGGGCCTTTCCCTAATTACATTCATTTTTTCCTCCAGCTGTCGCTTGTGTGGCGAGGCAGGAGGAGTGACGGGTGAGACCCCCCTCCGCACCCCCGTGCTACATCCTGATTAAACTTAAAAAAAAATTCAGAATCACTCTTAATATATATCTTTTTTAAAGGCATATATACAACATCCTGCCTTTACTGCCATGCGTGGTGACAGAGCCCTTGTTACACAAAAAATCCCATTTAGCCAGTTACCCAGTTATTTTGCAAGGGAAATCCATAATGTATCAGCATAGAACAAAAACAACATGAAGTTAATATTTGGGGAGGGACGGGCAACATCGGAAAAGAATGCTTCAGAGCTACAGGAATTAAAAATATCATAAAGAACAAAATTTTACAATATTAACAAAATAAACACGGGCGTATTGCACCGATTAAGGGTAATTAATGGTTAGATGTGTGCGAGGTGAAGTGAACATAATCGTATGTATGCCAGTTGTGCTAATCGGAGGTGCGGTGGAAAGACAACAAACTGAACACAAAAAGCAGTTCTACAGAAATAAGTTTTCAATCGAGATGATGTAAAAGTGCACAGCTCAAGTGGCTTCCTAATATTGGAAGGAAGAGCGTTCCAGATGGCCACAGAAGTGCACCTGAAAGTGTGCGATGCCGTGGCCATCGTTATTCGATCGAATGAATAAAAAACCCATCATGGAAATGTAAAAAGTAACATCAAAAAGGTTGGGTCCAGGTGTAAAGACTGTGTCAGTAAGTCTCGAAGATGAAGACAGGGTGTCAGCGAGGCTGGATGCAAAGACATGGTGCCAGCAAGTCTGGAGGATCTTGGCTGGGAAATTCTCCAGAGTGTCCAAAAGAGACAGCTGGGGAAATTCCCCTGGAGAATCCACGAGGATAAAAGTAGGGCAAGAAGGGATGTTCAGGGTCTGTGGAGAGGGACTCTGGCCATCATCGCTGTCTTCACGTCGTCGCTGTCTTCACGTCATCACTGTCTTCAAGTCATCGCTGTCTGCTCGGTCATACGATTTCCACGTCGCCATTATCTCATGACGATGTGGTCCTAAGCTACGTTACGTGCAATAAAATAAACCTCTAACGTTCGAGTCCAGAGTCATTATACAGGTACAGCAGCTGAAGTGTGAAATCTGAGCGAGGAGTGCATTGAAACGGTGGAGGGAGGGGAGAGAGCCCAGCCTATACTGAGAGGCATGAACATTCCAGTAACACGAGATAGTTTTAATAACAGGAAATTTTAGTAAGTTATTAGTCGTTATTTTTCTCCACATTTGTGCATAAAATATCTCAGTTGTATAGAACGATTTTTTTTGTATGTTTTGGGTCAGTACATTTGTTTTAGCAATGTATCTTGGGTCATATAATGGTACCATATAGAAAATTATGTTTCGATTAACAATTTTATCGTTCACTTTATGTTTTATTTATTTCCGCAGAGGAATCCAATTTAACTTTTTATCTTACTAACCATGTAATGGACGTAAAATATCTACATATTTAAAAGTTTTGGACCCGTTCAATGAGATGTTAGTGCAGAGACATAATATGGAGGCAGGGAAAACTAGGTTTGGAGTAGCCAAAAAACAATGTGACTGGTATTAATAGCATTGAATATGAATTGATAACATCCATCGCACACCCTTGCAGGAATGCATGGTCCAGGCCAAGGCTCGCATCTCAGGCGAGTTCACCCGGATGAGGGCGACGCTGGATGAGGACGAGAGGGCAACTCTGGATCGCGTGGACGTGAAGGGGCGTGAGTTGCTATCTCAGATCGAGGAGAACATCGCTCATTACGAACGCGAGATCAGCAACCTCCAGGCAGCAGCCACGCGCCTGCACGCTCTGCAGGAGGAGAGGGACTCGCTCACGTTCCTGCAGGTAGGGCGCTCGTGGGGCCAGGGGAGTACTCTACTTACGAACACAACTCGTTCCCAGGCCTGTTCGTAAGTCGACCCGTTCATAAGTCGGAACACAACAATGCACTCTATTTAAATGCCCATACAGTCGATGTCACGAAATGTGTTATGGTTCATCAAAAATTGGAAGCATTGTTAAACTCATGAATAAGAATAAATACTTAACATTCAGTTACACTGTAAAATAATTTTATAATAAAAAAAATACCATAACATAAATAGAAAGAAAGAAACAAATCACTAACCTTGAGTCCTGAATCTGTCTTGCTTGTTGAAAGAGGCACAATCAATCACTACAATTGAACACACACACGGGGCAAAAACGGAGATCCCCCGTATAGCCTGAACAGACTGTTGGGGCAAGTGCTGTTAGCGAGTACCTATGAAGACCGGACCAGCACATGATGGGGTGAGTGGCCAACACCACGCCCGGCCGCCTTTGTCTCCACAGTGGCGATGTTTACACACCAAACGAGGTAATACGTTGAAGCTTAGTCGACCTAGGGGAGGCCCACGACGAATTTAGATAATCGTCACTGGTTTGGTCGTGAGCGAGAATCTAACTCGGGTCGCCATTGCACTACCACTCCATACACATGAACTTATACATGCACGCACATACACTGATTGCCAGCACGAGGCTGACTCATTACACCTCGCGGAGGATGGCTCCGATTAACAAAATTGTTACGTGATTAAGTTCGCGTTTTTCGTCGATGTAAAAAAAACATGTAATTCATGGAAGCTAGTTTGTAAGTATGGTGTTCGTAAGTTGAGAACTGCCTGTACATTTATGCAGATGGCACATGCGAGGTATCGCACAGAACAGAATAACGCACCTTGCATTGTCAATACAATCTATGGCCCATGTGTCCTGAAATTAAAGGTAGAAACAAGTCCACCAACGTGTATTTGTATATGCTAGTAATAATATGAATTGCCACTAAATTGACTTCTCGACAGACTTGTTCTCCACCTGAAGACGACTGCTTGCGTTGTGGCCGAAACGTCGTGAGAATTATTTTATTGTTTTATTTTTATTATTTTATTATTTTCCTTCTCCGTGACTTTACCGAAAGAACCAAGAAGAGGAAAATAAATAAACGATTAACGCACAAATCCTTCGAGTTAATAATCGGTTGGTAATTTATATAGACGTTGGCACAACATCTAACAACATTTAAGCTACTTACTGCTAGATTTTGTTTATTCTAGTAGTCAAATGTCGACCAACCAAAGTAATGCTATAAGCACAAGTTTTTTTAACATTATGAAAGCCACAGAAATTCGTTTTTTTCATCAGTCTCGAAAAGTTTTAACCAATATGGTGATTGTCTGCTTCAACAAGTGTTCACCCTGAATAGAGTTTTTTTTGTTAGATCGTGTAAATATGAATGTGTCATTAAACCCGCCACCACCCGACGCAGCCTTTTAGGTTTGTCACGTAGTGATAGCATGCCAATTAGATACTAGTTCAGCACGCCGGTGTGTTAGAGAGTAAACCCATAATATTTACAATTGGAGTACGACGTAATCACAACCAGCCTCATCAGGTGACAGTCAGAATTGTCGAGAAATTCTCCTGTTTTGGTCTTAGAGAAATAAATGTGATCTCATCACTGAGAGCCAATCAGGTGCGAAGCCCAGAGTGGGACAGGTGGATTAATATATGCATATAAATGACAATATTATTTGTTGGGTTATTCACAGTTAATCAAGATACATAATGTACGTACGTTATGTATGTACATTACCGACTTTTGAGCCCAAATATCGTATCAAAGGTGGGCTTCTCTGCCATTTTTCGGCCCAAAAATCGTATAAAAATTCTAAACTACTGACAAAGGTAACGCGATGCTCTGAGTGTAATTCGCAGTGGATAATTATTTCCAATGTTGGTTCACAATCACTGCCACTCGATATCGAGTGCCACCTACGCCTATTGCCCGTGGCAACAGTTTGAGAGGCCACACCTTGCTGATAAGAACCATCGAGTCCAAACGAGTCCACGGCTTTGTCTTGATTACAACCAACAACACTGGGGTAGGCGAATGGTTGAGTGCAGCCTCATCACGTCTACCAATCACCGTGTGGTTAATGTGGCTGGAGGTAAACTGACTCGTGCCCCCTGTGTTTGACTCCTGCAGGTTCACCTGAAGGAGACAGATTGGTATGGACTCGTGAATTTGCACAGATTCACACACTGGGTGATGCTGTGTTTGGGACGTGGGCTGCGTGATTATACTGTGTGTAATGATGCTGCGTGTGTTGATGATGCTATGTGTGATGATGCTGTGTGTGATGCTGCTTTGTGTGATGATGCTCTGTACCACGATGAAGTTTGATGATTCTGCGTGTGATGCTGTGTACCACGTTGATGTGTGATGATGCTGTGTGATGATGCTGTGTGTAATAATGCTGTGCAAGACACGGGCTGTCTGAGTCACTACTGGTTCTGGTGTCATAGGAGAGACGCTCAGAAGGAAGCTCCACACTCATCTCCCAGCAAAGAAGATATAGCCACGATCAGCGCACAGCAGGGAGCTCTGATCAAACTGATGTTGTTCATGTGTGAGTAACACGGACTCTTGGCACGTATGCATGTATGTTATTGCGTATGTAATCGTGTCTGTGTGTATGTATCGATGAAATGGGGTGTGTGGAAAGTGGTAGTCTAGCAGTTGGCATGCTGCACTACAAATCCAGCCACCGGAATTCGATTTCTGCTCACGGCCAACACCAGTGACGATGATATGAACAGGTCCTGGGCCCCCCTAGGTAGACTCAGCCGTAAATACACGGTTCGATATGTGCGGTGTGAAAGCGGTTCAACATACATACAAATGAGTATCTGGTGCAGTATGTAAACATAGACACGAGGGAGGCAAAAGCAGCCGGGTGTGGTGCTGGTCACCAACCCACTCGTGTGCCGTGCCAGTCTTCATAGGTGCTCGCTAACAACACTTGCCCCACAGTCTGTTAAGGATTTTACGGAGGTATATTTGCCTTTGTAATAGTGTCTGTATGCATGTGTAATGTGTAATGTAGCTCTCATGATGGCTTGGCCACCAGCCGAGGGGGGTCGAGGTTCTTGGAGGCCATCATGGGTAAGGCTAACAGGTCATCTGCAGATGGCCCCTTGTGTGTGGCGGGCCTTCGGGTTTCCCCGACGTCAAGGGCTCGAGAACTGCGGGTGGCACAACATATTTTCCTCGGCTTCCGATTACTTTGGCCAACCGCCCCAGCCAGTCCAACACACCAGACCCCAACCGCAAAGACACTTTGGATGAATCATCTATTCGGGGACGCACACAGCTTTAAGCACGATGAGTGGATAACTCAGCGGTGACATCTTACTTGCTCATGCCCACACCATGGCCGTCGAATTTCAACGACATCCACCGGCCATTTCCCTGGCCAGTTTAATTTCGGGGATTAATGCAATAGCACTTCTCAACCAATCTTAGCCATGCTCTATCCCTTACTACCCCTCAGCTGCCTTGCATACTTCTGATACATCATTCAGCGTGACCCACACGTTTTACTAGCAAGTAAGGTCTCTCCCGTCCTGAGGTCGGACCCCATCAAACATCCATAGGGGTGAACTTCCACAGCCATACTTCACTCAACAGGAATCACACTCAACCCCATGCACCCCGGACAACTTAGGTTTCACTTCGCAAAACGTTTCCTTCCATGCTTCGTAAGAATATACAGCATGCATCACCTCTTACACCTCTGTCTCCACAGTGGGTCTGAACACGTCGCTCCCTGCTAACAGCGCATAGGCAATACCGTTACCACCTGAACCCGGATAATTCCATATCCCCAAATAGGACTTGCAGGAACGGTTCCCAATCTCCCCTGAACTTTTTTAGCACCCCGAGCGGTGTGAGCCCACGGCCCTTCTGCTCTAGAGGGGCCAAGGAGGACCCCCGCCTCCGGCCTGCCAGGTCAAACTGTCCGCAACAATGCAACGGGACCACATCCCCCGAGCAATGTGAGCCCCAGCCCATTGCTCCACATGTGCTAAGGAAGGTCTCAACCTCTGGGCCATCAGGTCACGCCGTCTGCTACAACACGACGGGACCACTACTCTTGAGTCAGGCGGCATCTCTAGAGATTCCCTGAATATAACGTGAACCAAAACTTCTGCTCGCCAATGTGGGGAACCCACGTAACATTTGTGGCTCCGATGGCATCTGACCACAACCCCGGTCGTCAACAAATCGCAGGGGCATCCAGCTCAGGATCCGTGCCCCAGAGATAGGCTACAGCCAGCGTCTCAATTCCAATACTGGCTCCATATCTCAACCTCGCTTGAATCTGAAACAGGCTACAAAAACCCCAACTTCCCCCATTCGCCGCTACACGTGCAATCACCATAAGCGAACCACAATGATCCCTCAATTTAAAGGGCCTCATAACAAAATACAACTCGAGAATCACAAGTAACCAAGGCACCCATCCTTTAACACGCAAAACTCCACACCTTACACACAATCCGACTATTTCCGATGAACCAGCCACCGCTACTACTAATCGGCCCACCAGCTTTTGTCACTGCGTGCCCGAGTTTGGTCTCTACGACATCCGATGACCCTGATGCATGAGGTGGTTTTTAGCTCTAGGGTGTCTGGTGCATCGTGACTTGCCTGGGCCGCACCGTGGCTGTCCATGAGGCAGTGGATGCAAGGGCTCCACGATGTCCCCACGACTCTTGGCGTCCCCGCACAAAGTGTCGCAGCTGGACCGGGATCGCCACTTCCGGTGCCGTCCCGGCGTCCCTCCTCACCGCCGGTGCACTACATGATCCACTGCCATCACCTCCCCCATAGACTCCGTTTCTTTTTTCCAACAGCTCCAAGACAATCTTTGATGATTGGCCAGTCCACTCATCCCCAATTCCAGACTTTCCGATCCATGCAGCCACCCAAGCCAGTTTTTGTAAGGTTTCGTATGCTTGCAGGCGCCACGCGGGGCCGGTGGTGGGTCATATACTGCAGATATCTCCTTGTAGGCATCCTGAAGCATAGCCCTCATCTCCTCAGGGATGGCCCAGAACGTTGCGAGGCCATCATCGTCAAGAGCCATAGGTAAAGCTCTCAACGCCTCCTCCTCCTTCCAGTTGACGGACCGGTATGCTGCTCCAAACCAGCGTGTGAAGGCACTCCAATCTCCCCCCCACTACCATACATTCTCTAATCAAAGGCAATCTTCGTGGTCGCTCGGTGGCCCCTCGCCACCCGAGTTGACACCGCCACTGCTGCTTCATGCGCAGGACCCCAAATGACGGCCATCAGTCGCGTCGCCTTCAGCGAAATGGCAGCCCCCGACTGCGTGGTCTCCAGCGCGGGAACCTCGACCACAGGTGGCCGCTCCACCATCCCTGCGCAACTTTGCGGCTTGTCCCCAGCTGTGCCAGCCCTCAAAGTTGCCGCTCCCTTCGTCGCCACCAACTCAGCGATGGTCGAGCGGAGCCGATCTGCTTCTACCTCCCGGTCTTGCCACTCTTCCGTCACTGGCGCTGTTTTCTCTGCACCTACGGGTTTTGTCACTGGGACCCAGGCTCCTGGGGCTGCAAGGGGGACTCCGTGGTCGTCTTCCTTCTCCTTCTCTGAAGATGCTACAGGTGGGTTCTTACTCTTTCCTTTCCTAGGCATTTTACAAGCCACTTCTGACACCACTGTAATGGAGTTCTCAGAGACACCATCTTCTTCTTTGATATATATTTATTATGAATAAAGTCTGCTGATCATTACTTTAATGCGGCTGGTTCACATGAAATTGATTTCTATAAAACGATGGTACTTTGCAAGCCGACTGGGTATCAACAAAGTTTCGTTCATGAAGCAATCCATATGTACAGACACAGACACTTTCAACCGAGACGACGGTTTGAAACTCAGCAATCATTGGAAGGATGTCATCAACCACTTTGGGTCATGACTTGATTTGTGTTTTCTTGTCAACCTCTACCATCAACAGTCTGGATGTGTGTAACGAGGTGTAATGCCCCCCCCCATCTCTACCCCCCTCCCCCTCATCTTTAACCCCCCCTCTCTCTCCCCTTATCTCTACCCCTTCCTCCCCCCATTGTCTCCTCCGACATTAGCACTGGCTGACCTATGCCGCACATCTCTCCTCCTCCCAACTCCCCCATTGTCTACTCCTACATTGGCACTGGCTGACGGGCTGCCCCGCCCATGCTGTTTTCCCTGCACAGCCTTCCTTCTCCCAACTCTCACCCCCCGCCCACTCACTTTGAAAACCCTTACAAGCAGTTGCATTTGGAGGCTTGCCCCCTCTTTTCTCTTTGCCTGATGAAGACCACTGTGTTGCAATCGAAACGTCGTGGGTTTTTGCTCTTTTTTTTAATCCTTTTTTTCTATCTATGTGACTTTACCGATAGAACCAAGAATATGAAGTCCGCTGACAACTTAACGAGTAACCACGAGTAACTATATACACTTGGGTAATTTAAACCAGGGGTCCCCAACCCCCGGGCCGCACAGCAGGTCAGCGGTGAGTCCGCGCGTGGCCCACCCATTATTTTTTTGGCACTTCCATCCTTGCCTCTTTCCCGCACTGCGCACTTGTCTCAGTCACAGTTTTTGTAAGCCCACAAGCTAACCCCTGGCCAAAATGAATAAAAATACAAGCGTCGCTGGAAAGCGTCTTTGAAAAGGGGGAAAGACCCAATGATGAACCCCCCCCCCCCCCCCGGTTCGTGAAAAAATTGTCTTCCACGAAACCAGTCACTGGTGCCAAAAAAGTTGGGGACTGCTGATTTAGACAACCCTATTCTGAGATAACGTAACTCCAGCCCTTCAAGACTACACGGCGCCTACTCCAGGATGATGAGGCCGACCCATTCCAAGGTGACGATGGCGACGATGATTCCCCACAACAACAGCCGCGAGGTCCGGTTCACGCCAGCCCTTATCCCTTTCCCAGCCCGGCCACGCCCCTATTCCTGAACTCTCGCTCACCGCACCTGGCCATGTCAATCTCTGCCCTTATTACAATTTACGACCGTTGGGTCCCGTGCTTCCCCCCACGTGACCCTGTCATCGCGTATCCCATCAATCATTATTAGCAACCACTTAGGTCCCACATTACCCTAACATGACCCTGTCTGTTCCGTTTACGTTAATTAGTAACCATGGTCCCGGGGGGCCATACTGTCCCTACATCACCCCATACTGTCCTTACACATGTATTTTGAACTTCTTTCACACCGTACGTAGCCAACCATGCTAATTGGAGGTGTATGGGTGTATGGATGAGCGAGAGTGAATGTTCAATGAACATGGGATGGTTTGTGCACTGAGCTACAAACATGGTCACCTACACGTGATTCATGGCCATGGCTGGATTCTAAGGCTGGATTATGGATTGGGCCAGTGGAGCTAGTGTCCCGGGGCCTCGGACTGCAGGGGGCCTCCTAGCCTCAGGCCACACGCGGTGCATGGCCCAATACTTTTAAAGGAAGTTGAACGCCAGGGCCTAAGCGCACACAGTGCAAGCTGACCACTAGGCCCCTGGTTGTTTACAGCGTGAGCTAACCACTAGGGCCCCCCAGACCCCTCAGCGCTTACAATGCGAGGGCCCCCCAGACCCCTTGGTGTTTCAAACGTAAGCTGACCGCTAGGGCCTCTGGGCCCCTCAGTGCTTACAGTGTGAGGGACCTCAGGCCCCTTGGCGTTTAAAGAGTGAGTTGACCACAAGGGCCACTAAGTTCCTGGGGTTTAAAGCATGATCTGACCACTAGGGGCCTTGGGCCCCTCGGCACCTACAGTGCGAGGGTCCCTAGGCCCCCCCCCCCTACTAGGGCGTCACACCTGGGCTCCTTGATACATAGAGAGCATGCTTAAGACGATAGCCTCTCAGAGAGTATGGTGCTTCTGTACAACTGAGCCACTGGTTGATATGCTACAATATGCTGTGACATAAAACATTATTCACCAACAAGTCACTTCACTCTGCATAACAGGACAGTTTTAAGGGCGGCATATCATGACAAGCCGTTTGTTATTTGACTTACCGTAACTAGCTATCCCTTTATTTTAGCTAGATGCCCATATGATTCAGCTTGTAAACATAAATTAGTTAGCTAGCTGACATTTTTGCCAGCTAGCTGCCTTTACAACCACATTAGCTGCACTAAAAAAAACAGCTAGTGAGATTGAGGGTTCGTCGATTGTTAAAAACTTAGTTAGCCATTGACAAATCGATTATTAAAAATACACCGCTAAAAAGCTATACTTTTTCATACACTAACGCATATATGAGAACCAATACATACTTAAAGATTAAGGAAACGCCATTCATTTTTTTCCAAAGACCGTCTGTTTTTAGATCAACGGAAGTACATAATGCTCACGTTGACATGCAAATTCTCTACAGCTCTTACGAGGCCTTTTTCCCCTCCCCATCGATGGGGTGTGGCCTATGTGCATCGTCTCCACCCAGTCACATGGTGACTTTCAGACCGCATTCCATTTTCTTCTCCCCCTCCTCTTTTCCGAACATAGATGGACTCGTCCATCTGATCAACTGCCAAATCGCTGTCTGTGGTGCTGAAGTTAAGAAAAAACTGCTACTTTTTACAAAATTTTCTTGCTGTGGATTTCACACCTGATGATGATTGCTTGTGTTGCAGTCGAAACGTCGTGAGAATTTTATTGTTTTATATTTGTATTAATTTATTATTTCCCTTCTACGTGACTTTACCGAAAGAACCAAGAATATGAATCCCTGCAGTCACGAAATCTTTAAATCAAAATTTAAGGAACGAAACAGTAAGACTTCTCTCAAATCTGGCTTTCGCTTGATGAGGCGAGTTGTAATTACTGGCGAAACGTCGTACTCAGATAGTAAATGTTGCGGCTTGTCTCTCCAACACGCCAGTGTGCTGCACTAGTGACGAATTGGCATGTTCTTTTTACGTGACAACCCTTACTAGTTGGCTGTGTCGGGTGGTGGCAGGTTTTAACAACACATTTATACATTTATGCGATCTAACCCAACACCTCTATTATGGGCTGTTGTTATAGTTGTGCTGTTGTTATACAGCTACTGTGATTATCGTTACTGCAGACGGATGCTCACCGACTCTGGACCCAAACTCGGCCTACAACAAACTCCAGATTTCCTCGGATCTCAGGACGGTGACGCTGACCGCTGTCTCCCAGGGTCGCCCCGATCACCCACACCGGTTTGATGCCTGGTCACAAACCCTGTGCTCCGAGAGCTTCTCGTCGGGTCAGCACTACTGGGAGGTGGACGTGGGGGATGCGGCGGGGAGCTGTAAGGTTGGAGTCGCGTACAGGGCGATTGCACGGAAAGGGTGTGGTGAAGAGTGCAGTCTGGGAGAGAACGACTCATCCTGGGTTTTACATAAAAATAACAACAGCTGCTACGTGATTCATGATGGTGTCTGGACATCAGTGCCGGTGAGGGATCCTCCCCGGAAAGTCGGGTGTCACCTGCACTGGGAGGCGGGGCTGCTGTCGTTTTACCGTGCCGACTCAATGGAGCTGTTGCACTCCATTCACCACCCGTTTAGTCAACCGCTCTACCCCGCACTGTATGTATATGGTGCTGGTGGCTCAGTGACGATTCTGGATCTGAGTCGTGCGTACTGAGAGCACGGAGTGTAAGCGGCGAAGAGAAACGGGCCTCATGCACACAAAGACACATATCCCCCGTATAGCCTTAACAGACTAATGGGGCTAGTGCAGTCAGTGAGCGCCTGTGAAGTCCGGCACAGCACTCGAGATGGTGGCTAGTCAACACAACGTCCGGCCGCCTTTGCCTCCCCAATGGTGACATTTACACACCGTACCAATAACTCATTTGAGGCTGAGTCGACCTAGGGGAGGCCCATGACCGGTTCACCAACACCAGTGACGATTATTCGATTCGGTCCTGGATCTCTCCTAGATCGACTGAGCCTCAAATGAGTACCTGCTGTGGTGTGTAAACATCGCCACTGGGGAGACGAAGGCGGGTCAGTCGTGGAATTGGCTACCCACCTCCTTGTGTGCCATGCCGACCTTCCTAGGTGGTCGATAACAGCACTTGCTCCAACATTCTGTAAAGGCTATACAGGGGATCTTTGTCTTTGGGTGAGTGGGTTGGTGTGTGTATGCCTTTATGTGTGTATTTCTTATTGTGTCTGAGTCTTCGTGTCTGTGTGTATCTTTGTTATTGTGTCTGAGTCTTTGTGTCTGTGTGTAACGTTGTTATTGTGTCTGAGTCTTCGTGTATGTGTGTATCTTTGTTATTGTGTCCGTGTCTTCGTGTCTGTGTGTATCTTTGCTATTGTGTCTGAGTCTTCGTGTCTGTGTGTATCTTTGTTATTGTGTCCGTGTCTTCGTGTCAGTGTGTAACGTTGTTATTGTGTGTGAGTCTTCGTGTCTGTGTGTATCTTTATTATTGTGTCTGAGCCTTCGTGTCTGTGTGTATCTTTGTTATTGTGTCCGTTTCCTCGTGTCTGTGTTTGTGTCTGGGTATGGTCCAGGCTAACCCCCCCCCCCCCATCACCTCGTGGGCCACAGTGCCAGCCTTCATAGTTGCTACTCGCTACTTACAGCACTTACCCCAACAGACTTTTAAGGCTTTTCGGCGTATCTTTGTCTTTAGTGTATAGAGAGCCATGTGTGTAGTGTGGGGTGGAGCAGTGGTGCAGTAGTTAGTGCACTGGTGGGGGAGGGAGGGGGGAGCCAATCTTCTCTCTGACGCCATCGTCCCTCGCACCGCGCGCCGCGTGGCGCTCAACGACGAGAGGGCGGAGCTCCACCGCGGGCGTGCTGGGAACACGCGTCACGTGACGCTACGGGGAGACGCGCGATCACTCGCTCGTTGGGCGATAAACCCGGGGTGGGAATGGGATGGCATCACTAGGGGGGAACGACTTGTGGTGTGTGCCGAGCATCGCTGTGCTAAAACATGTTTGTTAAAACCAGCGGTCGAGTGACTCCTCCACCCACCAAAAGTAGTTTTATTTTACAGGGCATAGATAGAGAGCAGCCATTTTAACACCTTGTAGGAGTAGCAGGTCTTTCGCCACCAATAGTGTTAATAATAAAGATTGGTTTTAATTAATATTTTATATCTGCTCTCAGACTTAGACTTGGACCAGCAGCCACAACCTTCGAATCGTGGGATAACGCCTCCCTCTGCTGACAAAAATTGGACTGTCTTTTGACTTTGAAGTCTGTTATTTAATTAAGCACCCGAGATATATATCTAGAGTGAAGATTTACCTTACACTACAACACGACTAATATTGTCTCAACACGCATTAATAACACACAGAAATTTCCCCGTTGTTTGCTCCTTCACAGTCATCGATGTTAATGTGGCACCGGGTGTTAGGTAAGAGTGAAAGAAAAGATTAACACATAGTCCGCTTTCGCGACAAATATTATACATAAGAAGGGTTTTTATGGGTTATATCGCATAAACATAAATGTGTTGTTAAACTTTAAACGTTAAACTTAAACACAGTTGATCAGTAAGGTTTGTCACGTTTAAAAAACGTGGCAATTAATTACTAGTTCAGCACACCGGTTGTGTGTTGGAGAGTAAACGCACAACATTTACAACTTGAGTACTGAGACGTTTCGCTGGTGATTACCGCCTGGCTCCATCAGGCGATTTGCGAGAATTGTGAAGAAGTCTTCCTGTTTCTGTGGTTTCTCCTCACGCATCTGAGTCGTCTCCTCCTCCTCTCTCTCTTTGTGGAGAGTGAATCGTGTGTGGTGGTGGAGCGTTACAAGTCGAGTTATTATTATTACTACTAAACCATTAAACAAAACTACTCCTAAACTATTTTTATTTTACCAAGTGTCAAGACCCACTGAGCTGTGTAGCTCTATTTCAGAAGCGACCTGGTCATTGCAAATTATATTTTCAACAAAGTGAAATATCATGATCATCGTGTGGAAATTTATAGTTGCATCCAACAACTCTAAATGCATAGATATACATAGTGACTCCTAGACACCTATAAAGATACATAGATACCCATATAGATAGATGGAGACCCACAGATTAAAATAAAATTAAACTATTTTATTTTACCAGCTCAGTGTCCACTGAGATGTGTAGTTCTTTTTCAGAAGCGACCTTGCTATCGCAAATGATAACTAAACTAAGTGGTTTATCATCATGCGGAAAGTTATATGAGCCAAATACTCGAAACGCGTGATGTTGATTCTATGTGCGGAAGAAAAACCGAAGGACCCGGAAAAAAGACCCACGTGAACACCACAGCAAGAGAGACGCCACAAACTTCAAATATACACCAGGTGCCAGGGTCAGGATCGAACCCACAACCTCCTGCATACCAGGCGAGGGAGTTAACATCTCCTAGCCACCACGGCGCTCCTCATTGACGTAAGGCACCTATCCGATGTGAACCCAACCTCGATTCTCAGGCTGTTTAGCAACTCGTTGATGATTTGAGATGCATTGATGACATCGTACCAGTTGTGTAATTGTGTGATCGCTAATCGTATTGTGGTCTCGGCTACGTGAAATTTCTATTTGTTTCATTGGTGGGATGTGTTTGACTTCTTCATTTTTCATTTTTATGGCCCAGGTCACTTTTGTCATGAGACTCATTCTGGTCTCGTGAGTTCTCACCTCGTTAAACTCAAATTCAACTCGACTCGATCATCAGCAGCAGCATCAGCAAAAGTATCTTCAGCAGCAGAATTAGTAACAACAGCAGCAGTAGCTCCATCATTATTATCACAATCAGCATCAGGAGTAGGACCAGCATCTTCAATAATAATAATATAATTATTATCACCAGGAACAAAATCATCATCAGTAGCAGCAGAAGCAGCATCATCATCACTCTTGCAACCGAGACTCATCCTGGTCTCTTGCGTTTTTACCTGGTTAAATAATCGGACTTGATTGTATATAAATATACTTAATTTTGTTCTGGGTTTTCCTGAGAATTAGAATCACAATGTATTCTGGGTCAAGGGTCAATGTATTTTGGGTGATTAAAAAAATAAATCTGAAAACACATTGACTGTGCTGGGGTGTGTGGGCTCAACTGTGGGTGTGTGGGCTCAAATGTGAGTGAGCTTCCTTGTAACTAGGCGGCTGGGTGGTGGAAGTTTGACATCTTAATTTTAGTGGTAGCTATCCACTTGGCTTGGTATCCCGGACTGTGGAGGCGAGGTTGGTTGATTGTTCAAATATTGGGAAAGTCCATTTCCGTGTGAGTCGAGGAGGTGCAATACCCTGCTTTCTACATCAAAGTGCGGACTGAAATAATGTCCCCTTCTGTATGGGTGAGAGTGTAGCCCCATAGCAGGCATGGGTTTTTTTCCGGGTAATCCGGTTTCCTCCCGCGTGCGTACACACTCCTTCATATATATGGTGGCACCTTGCCTGATGTTCGTTCACGGGATCGTGGAGAGGGCTGCAGCCACGGGTGGTGGTGCAGAGTGAAGTGTGCCAAGTGCAAGTCTCAGAGCGCCCTTGGGTTTGGTTATGACAAAACTTCGTGGTACAAGGCTGATCGCACAAGGGTAGTTTACACGTTTTCTTGTGAACGAAAACCACCGACCACATCAAGACCTCAACAATGTTACTTGCCACAAACTCGAGTCCTGACCCCCTTTCTGGGATTGCGCTGTCACCATCCTAGTATCTCACCCAGATCTGGTAGAAGGCTGCTAAAGAATGAAACAGCGAGGACGTCCAGAATAAACACCTCGAGACCCACACCTCCTGGCTTTGATATTCCTTCTCAAAGACACTCACGGAACCATCAACCGCATCACAACATCAACAGGTCGATGCGCACTTCTTCTGTGAATGGAAAATTAAAAATACAAGCCACACTATTGTAATTGTCGCCATGCAACCCAAACTATAGAACCATAAAATAAACCACAGTGCTCTGCACTCCTTAAACAGATGAATAGCAAATCTACACAAACCCTCTCCTGAAGCCCTCTCATCGTGGCTTGCAGAATTCGACGTTGCATTTAGCTTCTGAAGATTTTTTACCTATTCACATTTTTTTTACCATGTAAGGCCCACTGGACTATATCGCTCTTTCTCAGAAGGGACCTGACCACAAATGATAGCTCAACGATGTAGCTTGTCACGTGGATGTTTATAGCAGCCAATCAATCTAAAAACATGTTTCTAAATTAGGGAAAAACTGGAGGACCCAGAGAAAAATCCACACGATCACGGGGAGAACATGAAAACTCCAAATATACAGGCGTCAGAGTTGGCATCGAACCCACGACCTCCTGTATAGCAGGCGAGGTAGTTAACATATCCTAGCTACTGTGGCGCCATATGTGAATGTAGCGCTGTAACAGCATAAAATGACTCTGCCACGGAGTGAATGATAAAATGTGTTTATGCTTTAGGCCCAAATATGGAGAAACGGGGTGTCGCTTTGCCCATATAAGAAATACTGGAACCGGAATCGACATGTTTACGATGTAATGTTTGATTAAACGGGATTCGAACTGGATCAAGCATGTTGTTTCCTGCCGCATAATTTCTGGACCGAAACTGACGATTTATGGATCGCACGATTTCTGAAATTAAAAAGACGATTTGTGGATCTAAAAAGCCCACATTAGGCCGCTCCTCAACAACACATTTTTTGTCATTCATTCTGTCGTGGGTTCATTTCGTCCTGTTACAGTGCTTTCAAACTGTAGCGCTTTTGTCCGGTTCAGTGACTGCGTATTTAAGTGTTTTAAATATGGTCTGCAAGTGGGACCGGGGTGTCGGCACGATGGACGTGGAGACTTCTGCAAATCCCTACCCAGACACATGTATATTTGGAATTTGCATGTCTTTCTCCCCGTGGTCACGTGTATTTTTCTCCAGGTCCTCCACTTTATCTCTCCATATTTAGAAACTTGCGTTGAGAGTATTTGGCTGCTATAAACTTCCACAAGCCACTTCGTTGAGCTATCATTTGTGGCAAGGCTGCTTCTGAAAAAGAGCTTCATATCTCGGTAAGCCTTTACTGGTAAAATATATATTTTTAAATGCTTAGTTTATGTTCGGTTTAGTTGCTGCATATTTAATTGTTTTAAAGATGGTCTGCAAGTAGACCAGGGTGTCGGTACAACGGACCTGGAGACTTCTTCAAGGTCGGTTCCGTTTTAATCTCAACTCCAAACCCGTTACACAAGAAGCATAACACGAGGCCTCTGAGCCCACGCCACCCACGATGCGTGGAGCCCCTTGTCAGCCAGCCACGCGGGGAGACCATCGTTTATCACAGCATAACAACTAAATTAGACAATATTGTTAGCAACATTAACCAGCACCTTATTAAAGTATTTCACATATTTACCCTTAAAACAATAACTCGCAATCATTAGATTTAAACTCTAAAATTAACTGTTAATTTATCACACCTCTAATTTGCACCGTTGACTACATATGGTGTGAAAGAAGTTCAACATACACACATAAACGATCTGAATCAAATGCAGTAGCATGACTCATTATATAGCAAGACATTATGTGCTCTACTGTTCTTGAGTCGTAAATATTGTAAATATTATACAAATCACTCTAAACAGAATAAAAATATGCAAGATGATTCATGTTGGTGCTTAATAAGCGTTTCCAGTCTTTAAATACATTATTTCTAAATACATCTACTGACATTAATTAATAAATAACAATTATACGATGGAATTAGTAACATTAGATGAAAGACCATGGCATTAGTAACATATGAAACACGATGGCATTAGTGACATTACATGAAAATCAATGGCATTAGTGACATATGAAACACAATGGCATTAGTGACATTATATGTGTAATAAACCCACTCCGGACGATATTGTATTTTCTTGTCTTGTCTTTATTCGTACTTTCTTGTTCACAGCTCTCTCTCTCTCTCTCACACACCGCTGGGTTCCTTTTTCCCGTTACTCCCTCTCGAGCGTGGCGTTCGCTCGCTTTCCTTGCTCCCTCACATCGCTGGCTAACGGCGTCGGGAGACAGCCACCGGACTGCCACGTGGCCGCTGGCGTGCCGGAGGCACCCGACGTGGTCTCTCCTCCAAGCTCTTCACACTGACCATGAACTGTCTCTCTCCGCCCCTTATATCACCTGACTCACGTGATGCCATGCAACCAATCATAAGCCTCTTCCCTGGAATCTTCTAGATGTTGCTATACAGCCCCGGGTTATGCCATTGGCTCGACGTCCCATTGGCTGCGGGCTGAGGCCGGCAGAGCCTATCACCATCGCCCAGTTACCCCCGGGTGCATCCTCATATTACATATGGAATACGATGGCATTACTGACATATGAAACACGATAGCATTAGTGACATTACATTAAACATAATGGCATTAGTAACATATGAAACACGATGGCATTAATAACATTAAACACGATGGCATTAGTAACATATGATCACGAGGGCATTAGTGACATATCACACTTAGCCTCTCGGTCCACGTCATCTAAACACGCTCCCACGTGCCCACCGTCCATCAGCCACGTGGGGAGAGCACGGAACGAGCATGCGTGCATGGTGGGCGGAGCCTCAATGTTACACTGCTGCCGTGTACAACGCACCCAGTCCTGGCGCCATCCACATTGGCTAAGGATGTTGTTCATTACACGCAGATGTGGACTTTCCACTCCACACCTCCGATTCGCGCGATTAGATAGATCGTTTATTGTCATTGTCACCAGTACAACGAAATTTAAAATGCTCACCAGTCAGGGCCTCATTCATAAATTTAAATTAAATAAAACAAGAAAATAAAAATAAAATTAAATGAAAGATAATCAATTTATACTATATATAAAAACAGCCCAAGTATACCCACATACCCACATAAGGTTACATTTTGTCATTGCACATCTCTATTTCACAGTCAATTGTAAACGCTATTACTTAATAATTAATTAGCATTATTGAGTGTGGTGATCGCTGTAGGATAAAAGCTCTGTTTGAATCTGTTTGTCCTTGTTTTGACTGATCTGAATCGTCTGCCTGATGGCAACAGCTCAAACAGTGAGTGTCCAGGGTGAGAAGAGTCCTTTATAATGTTCTGTGCTTTTTTGATGCAACGTGAACTGTGTAGTGCTTCCAGTGTGGGGAGATGGCAGCCGGCGATCTTTTGGGCTGTGTTGATGACCCTCTGGAGCGCTTTCCTCTGAGCCACTGTGCAGCTGGTGTACCATACACAGATGCAGTATGTAAGAATGCTCTCGATGGAGGCTCGGTAGAAGGACACCAGCAGTTTCTGTGTGATGTTATTATTCCTGAGAATTCTCAGGAAGTAAAGTCTCTGCTGGGCCTTTTTCAGAAGCTCAGTGCTGTTGGCGCTCCAGGTCAGGCCCTCCCCAATGTGGACTCCCAGGAAGCAGAAGTCTGCCACCCTCTCCACACAGTCCCCGCTGATGATTAGTGGTGGAGTGTCCGTTTTCTTTCTCCTGTAGTCTATTATGGATACTTATGGTGCAAAAAAAGTTCAACATACATACAAAGAGACCCTGAGACACCCAGACTCATAAAGACCCACAGAGACCTACAGATGAACAACAGGAGTGAACAAAAGTTCAAGTGTCTCTGTGTGTAATAATGTGTTTTGAGACAATATTGGCCAAGTTGTAGTGTACTCTCCATCGTTACTCTAGGTAAACAGTATATCAGGCACCTAATTGAATGCTGACTTCAAAGTCAAAAAGAGTTGCAATTTAAGTCAGAGGTTGTGACTGGAGGTGCACATCTAAGTCTGAGAGAAGATGATTAAAATATTTTAAACAATTACCCCTAAATGGCTTAATGTGTGTTCGCACGATTGTTTGCTTGTGTGTCGAGGTGTTTATATACACGTGTGTTTATGTGTGTGGTTACATGTGTGTTTGTGTGTGTTTACATGTGTGTTTGTATTTTGAGTAGTATGTTTGTATGTTTAGGCTCATAACAACAGTCTGGACCACTGGACGGATT